CAGACCCGGGGGTCCAGGCCCAGCCTCCTCCCCCGGACCCAGGGGTCCAGGCCCAGCCTCCTCCCTCAGACACGGGGGTCCAGGCCCAGCCTCCTCCCCCGGACCCAGGGGTCCAAGCCCAGCCCTCCTCCCTCAGACGCAGGATCCAGGGTTCCAAAGCCTCTCAGGGACTGAGCACTTCAGCTCACCAGTCCTCTTGAACTGCCGCGTCCACATGCACTTGCCCTCCCGTGTGCACTGCTCACAGTCAGCAGCCCCACATGCAGCCTCTGAGCAATTCCCGGCCCAGAAGACCTCTCGCTGGTTGATGCGACAGTCATTCTCTGAGGTGCAGGAGCCATTGCGCCCGATGCAGGCACCCTCGGGGCAGTTGGTACACCACTTGCAGCGGGGGGCAGATGCCTAGCGGGAGAAGACAGGCTTGGTGGGATCTGCAGGGGTCCCAGCACCCCTCTTGAGCCAGCTCTTCCCAACCAACCACAGCTGATGAGTTTGGTGGTTCCTGAGACAGCTGACCAGAGTGGGGGACAGGACCTTCCTGCCCCTGCTTCTCCTGCCCCATTTACTTCTCCATCTCCAGGCTGCAGGGTCCGGGGATGGCGGGCCAGGCACTCACTACAGGTCCGGAGACGTCGGCATTCCTCTGGGGAGCGAGGCATCGGGGAGCAGGGGGAACCCCCACAGCCTAACCTGGGGGACAAGAGGCCTGGCTCACTCACTCTAGCCAGGACCCAGCCTCCTACTTCCTGGACATCCTACTGCAGCCCTCCACACCAGGACCCGAGATGGATTCGGCACAGACCTTCCAATCCTGGTCCTCCCAGCCCTTGGTAGTGGATAGTCCCATATCCACCTATCACTCAGGCTGGAGACATGAAAAAATACCCACGTCTTCCTGCCCCTTCAGCCACTGGGCCTTCTGCCTCCTGAATTTCTCTCCGACTGCGTCCTCCTCACCACCCAGTTACAACCGCTCACCTAGTTCAGGGCTCTTCCTCTTGCCCTAGCTAGTTCTTGATCCCCTTGCCACCTCCTCTCAGCAGTCCGACCCTCACAACAGCCTCGGGGATCTTGCTGCCCAGGCCTGGCTTGTCCCCTCCTGTTCCAACCTCTTGTGGCTGCCCACTGCCCAAAGTGCAGGCCCACAATCCCTTTTCCAAACTCTATGGGAATAGGTGTATTTCAAACTTTTGCATTTTGGAAAAGCAGTCGGTGCTCCTACTGTTACACATACACCCAGAAGCCTGGGGGAGCACCCCAAAGACAGCCACTCAGACTCCTGTAGTAAACATGACAACACAATTCATGTGACAAAGCCCAGCGTAGCCTCGCATGAGGGCAGGACAAGTAATAGTCAAGTGAGTTGGTGCAAACCTAGGAACCTCTTGGCTGGCAGAGATGTTTGGATCCCCGAACTGCAGATGAAGGGACTGTGGAGTGGGACAGAACCCGGCACCTTGGCCATGCAACAGAAGCCCTTTCTGAGCTGACTCCACCCACCCTCCCAGTCTCATGGTCCCCCAGCGCAGACTGTCCTTCAGATGTGCCAGGGCAGGCTACTCTGACTTTGCTGGTCTAAATGATACCAGTTGTTCAGGGTCCAGCTCAGACCCAACTCCTCTAGCCCACAAGCACACCGCCCCACCTGTGATGACTCCTCCACTTGCCCACGCGTGAGCCCGTCTTTCTAACGGACAGTATGCTCCTGAGACCTAGTGCAGTCCCCTAGGAGGGCGCCACCCCTGCCTGCGATATCTGCCAGCCACATGGTTACCTGTGGGCCTGGTCCCCGGAAAGGCAGGCTCCATGGCACCAGGTGCAGGCTCCAGACTGGTTACAAGCTTCAGGTGAGGGCAGCAGGCGGCAGGAGTCAGGGGGCAAGGTCAGCGCCAGCAGGCGGCCCAGGGCCACTCCCCCAAAGCCCCCAGAGATGTATAGGTGGCTCCCCACCGCTGCCACCGCATGGGCCACAGACTCTTCCATTGGGGGTCCCACAGAGGCCGGACCTGAGGAAAGATGGGGTGTTCAGAGAGGCAGGACAGGAAATGTAGGGAAGATACCCACACAAAGAAGCCAGTTGGAAAGGTCACCTAGAGGAGACAAAGACAGAAGAGGGCAAAGACAGACACAGAAATATGGAGAGGAGATAGATAAGGACAAATAAACACGAGAATCAGACAGCAAAAGACAGAAAAGAAAGGCAGAGAACAAAGGAACAGATAGTGAAGAATGAGAACCAAGACAAGTCAGGAACAGGGGTGCCTGTCTGGAATCCTAGCTACTCCAGGAGGCTGAGGCAGGAGGATCACAAGTTCAAGGCCAGTGTTATGGCTTGTGTTTAGATGTCCCTCCAAACCCTCATGTGGATAAGGTGGGGCTTTCCTTTTTCAGAGGTGGCTGAATCTGCAAGGTGTGATGCTGGGATTAAGAATGTGTGATTACTAAACCAGTAGATGTAAGTGACTGGTTTGGCACCGCCCTAATCCCAGAAGCTGGATGGGTTAAAAGGGGCAGAAACATGCTGTTAAACTCTCCTGTTGCTTTGCTATCTTCGGGCCAGTTGTCCCTCTGCCACCCTGCCTTAGAGCCAGCCAATTATGGACTGAAACCTCTAGGAACATAAGCCAAATAAACCTTTCCCGCTTTAACTTTGTCAGGTATTTTGTCTCAGCAAGGAGAGAAAAGTAACTAAGACAGACAGCTGGGGTGACTATTAAGACTCTGTCTCAAAAATTTTTTAAAAAAATGTTTTTTTAAAGGGATGGAGTGGAAGAGCACTTGCCCAGCGTGTGAGACATGCTAGCATGTGTGGTCAAGCCTTAGTACCACAAAAAACAAAACAAAACACAAATAAGAGAACAGAGATAAGGGCTGGGGATTTAGCTCAGTGGTACCACTGCCTGTCTCACAAGTACAAGGTCCAGAGTTCGATCTCCAGCACCAAAAAAAACCAGAGACAAAAGTTTTGGAACCAGATGGAGGTGGTAATTCCATACACAATATTGTAATGGCTCTAAATGCCACTAAATTGATTATTATTATTATTGTTTTTTGGTACCAGGGATTAAACTCGTGACTTGGCACTTGTGAAGCAGGCACCAGTAACCACTGAGGTAAATCCCCATCCCTGATTGTTTTTATTTTATTTATTTTTTTTGGGGGGGGGTTGAGACAGGGTCTCCCTATGTAGTTGAGACTGACCTGGAACTCACTATATAGCCCAGGCTGGTCTCGAACTCACGGTGATCCTCCTGCCTCAGCCTCCCGAGTGCTAGGATTACAGATGTGCGCCACCACACCTGGCCCCCTGATTGTTTTTAAAAATGTATTTACTTTTACAGTGCTGCAGAGGTACCTCCAGGGCCTTGCACATGCTAGGCAAGCCCTTGCAACCTGGCTACACCCCCAGCCCTACAGATCATTTTAAATGGGTAATTTTATGTCACAAAAATTTTATTTCAGTTCTTTCCAGACTCAAAAGAAAAAAAGAGAGAGAGATTATGAGAAGAGAATTAGAGAGAGAGAAGCAGAGACAAAAAGGGAAAGGAGACAGGCTCAGAAACACAAACACAGTCATAACATGAAGTGAAATAAAAAGGCAAGGTGTGGGGCCGGGATGTAGCTCAGTGGTGCTGCCGCCTGCCTCACAAGTGCAAGGTCCCCAGTTTAATCCCTGGTACCAAAAAAAAAAAGGCAAGGTGTGGGTTGGGGTTACAGGTCAGGAGAACAGCATACCCAGCACCCACACCTGGCACCGCAAAAAAAATAAATAAAGGTCTGGGGATTTAGTTCTGTGGTTCTGCCACCTGCCTTGCAAGTGCAAGGACCCAAATTTGATCCCCAGTACCAAGAAAGAAGAGGAAGGGAAGGGGAAGGGAGGAAGAAGGGGGGTGAGAGGAAGAAACAAAGGGAGAGAGAGAGAGAGAAAGAAGTGAAAAGGAAAGAGAGGAAGCACCGCAAAAAAAATAAATAAAGGTCTGGGGATTTAGTTCTGTGGTTCTGCCACCTGCCTTGCAAGTGCAAGGACCCAAATTTGATCCCCAGTACCAAGAAAGAAGAGGAAGGGAAGGGGAAGGGAGGAAGAAGGGGGGTGAGAGGAAGAAACAAAGGGAGAGAGAGAGAGAGAAAGAAGTGAAAAGGAAAGAGAGGAAGGAAGGAAGGAGGGATATAAGCCCATCCTAACCCATGAACAGCAAAGCTTGGAAAGAGACTCTCTACACGCAATAGTAGTTGTCTCTAGAGGGGGATTATGGCTGGGTTTTGTTCTTTCTATCCTACAATGTATATATAATGCATATTACTTTTATAACCAGAATAAAAATAAAAATTTCAAAGTAAAAAGAAGGAAGAAGGGCTTCTCCATGGTCTTTAGAAAATATGGAGACAGGAGCTTTGCTGCTGGGTACAAAGAACCTAGACTCGTTTTTTCTTTTGGTATTGGAATGAAGCCCAGACCTTTACGTTAAACTACATCTCCACCCCACACCACCCCAGTCCCTTTATTTTTTTAACGTTTCATTTTGAGACAGGCCTCACTAAATTGCTAAGTTGCCCAAGCTGGGCTCAAACTTGTGATCTTCCTGACTCAGCTTCACAGAGTGCCGGGATTACAAGCATGTGTCACCATTCCTAACTTGAGTGCCTTCTAATAAGTGGGGGTCCCAGGACAGATACAAGGCTCCCGGGGGTGTCCCTCAGCCTCCCAAGGAGAGTTGCGGGGGACTCACGGGTGAGGTCGGGCAGGAGCCAGGCATTGCAGTTGACCTGGTAGAGCAGAACATCACTGCTGAACTCATCAGGGTCCGAGCGTCCCCCAAGGACCACCATGGTGTCCCCTAGCAAGGCTGCGGCATGGAAAAGTCGGGGGTGGGGCTGTCAGGGAGACACAAGCAGGGATGGCCAGTCAGAGCCCATTCCCTTGTTCCACTCGCTCCCCTGCGGCCCACCTACATCCTTGAATATCCCCTCCTGCCCACCCCTTTACTTATCCAATCCTCGCCTTCCTCAAATCTCACCTCACTCCTCTGGGACCACCTGGATCCCTCAAGAGAAATCCACAGAACCATCTCCTCTTCCCTGGAGACCCCGTGACCTATGCTGCTCCCCATGAACTTGGCCCTGACTTGAGACAAAAACCTCACTCCTCAGTGATCCCTGCAGCTGGGCTGGGGTATGAGGCCCCCTGAGGTATCTTCTGTGGTCTCCTCTCCTACAGGGGCTTCTGCATGCATGTGTACAACACAAGCACAATTGTCCCTAACAGCACAGATGGCTTCCCTGTGCCCTCACACCCTGTCCTCCTTGACCTTGTAAGGCAGGAGATACAAGGAGCTTCAGTCCTATGATTTTTTTTTTGTACCAGGGATCTAACTCAGGACCTTGCACTTGCGAGGCAGGCGTGGTACCACTAAGCTAAATCCCTGGCCCAGCCCTATGTTTTCATAGATGGGGAGCCCAGGAGAGAGAGGGACCTGCCAGGCCACACCAAGAGTCAGGGCAGAGCTGATGCAGAGCCCATACCCCTGACCTCCTGGCTAAGGATTCTTTCCTTCAAATCAGGAATGGAAAGAAGAGACCACAGGATGCCACAGTTCAAGGCAAGGGGCTACAAAGGAGGGAAGGCAGGAGAAATTCAGAAGGAGCCGATCCACGGGGCACTAGGTACAGGGACACTTCCCTCCTGTCCCTACAGCTATCTGTCGGAAACACTTTTTCTGACCTTTGCCCCCTGTGAGGGGGCCAGCAGGCTCCAGGTACGGTCAGGACAGTGCAGGGAATAGAGCTCCGGGGATGGGGCTGCCAGCTCCACGTGGAAGCGGAAGCCACCAAATACGTAGAGAGAGTCAGTGGCCTCGTGGTAGACCGCAGAATGGCCGTAGAGACCTGGACAGAAGCAGAACGACCACAGAGATGGTGGGACAGGGCTGACAACCAGCAATGTCCTCCCAGCAACCTCCCAGGCTGCTCTACTCAACGACCATGCCACTACCTCACCGGGCCCTGAGACCAGAGACTAAGAAGTCCTTCCCAACACCTCCCTCTGGGTTCTAAAGGGCAATCACTAGTGACTCAGAGAAAGGGAAGACAGAATCAATGCCAAGAAAGTTAGGACCAGCTGGTGGGAGGGGGACAGGGTTACAGAATATCTAGAGGCTGGATCAAAGCATGGAGGAGAGGTAAGGGAGGAGACTCATGGGGCCAGGGATCTCAGAACCCCAGGGAGGGAGACAGTGGCCACAATGGGCAGGAAATGGGCAGTGCATCATAGAGTCTGGGGCAGAGAAACTGAACGTCCCTAGAGATGGCTCCCTGACAATCTGGGTGGGCTTAGGTGATGGCAGGAAGATAATAAGGTACAGTGGGCAATGAATACAGTATGGGTGGGGACAGAGTCTGCATGAAGCCCTGGACAGCTCCTGCTCCCACCTGTTGGGGGTGTGCCACTCTGGGCTCCGGACACCCAGGTGCCAGTTGCCAGCTGGTACTCAAGCAACTGCTGGTTGAAGCCATTCTCGGGGGAGTAACCACCCACCAGGATCAGAGACAGGCCTCGGCGGGCAGTAAGGGTGTGACCAGCAACTGCTGGCAATTCCATGGTCTGAGGAGCCTGTAAAACAGACAGTCAAGGTCACCAAGGAGCCAGAGGTTGGGGTCACCTTGCGGGTAAAAGCAAGACCCAGATCCATGGTCCCTCTGAACTGCTAAGGAGGTAGTGAGCTCTGTGAGGCTGGTCAAACTCCAGCCTCTGACTAGCAAGTGCCCTGGCAGCTGTGCGGTAGGCTCTGCTCAGTTCTGCCTTCTCGCACCCCTTCCTCAGGCTCAGATAACCCCTGTGCATCTTTGGTAAGCCCTTGCTCCTCTGCTCTCACTGTGTCCCAGCTGGTCCAACACAGCACCACAGACCCTTGGCCAGGGGTTGGACTGGGACTTCATTGTGACCCAGGGTGGCCAGTGAAACTCAATTCTGGGACTTCTGCTGGAACCCTAGGAGGACAGTTTCCTCTAGTGGTGAAGCGTGCAGGAGCCACTGTGGCCATCCCTACCGGACCTGGCACGGGGGTAGATGCTCACCTTCTCCTGCCGCCACTGCAGGGTGGTAAGGTTAAGGACCCAGAAGTCACGGGTGACTCCCCCGACTGTGAGGCCCCCAAGCAGGTACATGGCACCACGTCCGGCAGGAACATAGGCAGCTGCATGGAAGGAGCGGGGTGACGGGCCTGGGCCCCCATCCTCAGCTCCTGCCAGCATCTGTGTCCACCGCCGCTCACTCACTGAGTACCTGGGGCCAAGGTACAAAAAGTACCCTTACTGTATAGTCATCTCAGCAGATACCCAGCATCCTCAGGGTGACCTTCCCATGACAATCATCTTACCATCCCCAGCACCAGCACCACCCAAATAGTACCCCAGGTCTGGGTGTCCATACATAAGCCTCCTGTGACAAGTGTCCCTCCCCCTAGGGGCTTTTCTGCACTCCCTGAGGTGATTCTTGGGTGACAGACATCCTAGCAGGCCCTGAGGTAACCTTTACTCATTCAGGTATCCCAATCCTCCCACAGCAGTCCTCACCTGTACAGGTTTCCCAGCAGCCCCTGGGGCAGGCCCAGGCCCCCAAACATCCACAAGGTGGCATCAGGTCCCTCCACCATAGTGTGACCCAGGCGGTGCAGGAAGCGGCTAGCAGTGTCCTGGGTGATGGCAGGGATGCCAGGGGTCAGGCTAAGGTCATGACAAAGTGTCAGGCAAGGGCAGAGGTCCCGGACAGGTGGTCCCCGGAGTGGAGGCGGGGAAATGATCCACAGGACAGACTGAGGCACAACTCACAGCAGAGAGGCGGCTGTCCATGAGGGTCTCCCAGACCAGCTGCCCACCATCCAGCTTCGTGGCACAGTCCAGGCCCCCAAATCCCTCAGCACAGATACAAACACCTTGGCTCTGGGGACAGCAGGAAGGGGTTCAGAGGGGCCCTAATCACCCCCCATCCCACCTGGCTGGCCTTGTCCCTTTGTACCTGGTTACAAATCCCAGCCCCAGTGTGGGCATTGCAGTTGTCGGGACACAGAGCCATGCGGCAGTGTGGGCCAGCCCAGCCCTGGGGACACCGGCAGAGCCCAGCATCTGCAGCTCCATCCTGAGGCACACACTCCTGGGGGACAGGGCAGCTCCCAGGACCTCCTGACCCACAGCGGGCAGAACCCACTGAGGCATTGAAGCCCCAGGATGAGGAGCCGTTGGCCTCCCAGTGTAGCACAAGCAGCCCTGTGGGGAGAGAAGCCAGTGTCTTTTCCCAGCCACATTTTTGGCACTGCTCTACCCCAGGTGTGGAGAAAAACCCACAGGAATTGGGCAGGGAAGCACCCTAATCACTTTATATCACTGCTGTGGGCCATTCTGCACATCCCTCCCTTTGCCAACTCATCAAGTTCCATCTATTTTATTTTTTGAAATAGGGTCTTGCTGTGTAGTCCAGGCTGACCTTGAACTCACTGGCCTCAAACTTGAGGTAATCCTCTTGCCTCAGCCTTTTGAGTGCTAGGATTACAGACATGCACCACAACACCTGGCTCCATCCATTTAAAGCCTGAATCTCAGGTTGGGACTGTGGCTCAGTGAATGAGCACAGGCTTAGCACGCACAAGGCCCTGGGTTCAATACTCAGTGCCATAAAAAAGAAGTAAATAAATAGGTAGACAGATAGATGACTGACCAGCAGGTAGGTGGATAGATATATAGCCTACAAATCTCTCATGTTCAGCTGCTGGTTGCCATCTCCTTGGCTGCTATTCAAGGCAGTGTTTTCATGTCACCTGGACACCAAGGCCATCTCCCCGCTGTCTTCCTGGCTGCCTACACTACCTCCCAGCAGCTCACATGATCCTTAAAATATGAACCTGACCCCATCAAGGGCAAGCCCCAAACCTTCCTAATTTCCACTGCTCTTACATAAGACCAACTTTCCTTAGAAATATTAGCAGTTTTGTGGGTGGCGGAACAGAAATTCATTGTAAAACACTTTGTGATATGTAAAATATACTTCAATAACTGTATTTTTCTTAAAAAGAGTCTCCTTTGGGAATTGATAGGGTCCTGTAGACTGCTGAGTTCACCCTATCCTGTGCGCTCCGGCTGGGGCTGGGCCTCTCCCTCCTGCTCTTGGCTTTGGCATCTCTACTCCCGCCTGGAGAAAATGCCTTCCAATCCCTCCAGCTTCTTGCCTGCAGCCAAATTCACCTCTGCAAAGAAGGCTTTCCCAGTGCCCCAGCCCCCTAGCAAGGCCAGGAGCCTGCTCCTCTCCTCTGCCTCACCAGGAGAGCAACAATATTCTGAGTCTACTGCTTTGTTCCCTGCAGTTTGCCCCCTCGCCTCCCCAGTGCACGAGGGCAGTGTCTGTGTTCCCTGTTCACTGCTGTACCCCAGTGTCTAGCGGAGGCCAGCTCAGTGTGGGAAACATCTGCCGAGTGTCGGGCAAGTCCCTTCAGTTCCAGGAGCTCCCTGTGGGCCTGGAGTTCACGCAGTCTCCAACAGGCCAATTACGATCTGCCCCTTTATCTCCAGCTTGAGTGCTCTGATTCACAGTAAGAAGAAAAGCATTTCCAAACTCTGGCCCTTTCACTGCCTTTCTACCCATCTCCATCCCTTCCGCGGGCTTTCTCAACCTCTCAGCACTATGAATGTTAGGGATGTTAAGGGCAGTAGCTCTGCTGTGGAGGCTGTGCTGTGTAACATAGAATGCAGAGCCGCATCTGGTATCTACAGATGCCAGTAGCACCCCAATCACGTCAGTCAAAATGACTCCAGGCATCACCAAAGGTCCTGAGGGACAAAGCCATCCCCGAAAACCACTACACTAAATAGACAGTAAAGGATTCTCCCACCCACCACATTCTGCACGCCCTGCATGGCTCTTCTCTCTGGAGCCAGCCCAGCTAGAAAATTCCTATTTTGCTCTCAGCCGAGGAAACTGAAAGCCTAGAGATCGACAGCAACTGCATCATCCACACCAGGAATTGTATCACCCAGCAATCCCGTGGCAGTCTCGGCTGGAACCTGGGTCCTTGGCCCAAGCACATGACAAGTACAGGAGCAAGGGATACAAAGCCAGGACAGAGGTCCCACTGCCCTCAGCCCCCATACCAGACAAGGCCTGCACAGTGAGGGGCCTGTCCCGCCGCTGGCCACAGAAGGCAGCTATGAGGCTCCGGTCCGACTGGACAACGCCAGTGTCCAGGAAGCGCGGGAATCCATCAAAGGCCAGGACATAGCTCAGCTGGAAGGGTGCAGAGTCAAGGGTTAGGGGACCCTTTCTGGGGTCTGGGAAGAGGGGTTTTAGGACAATCTGAGTCTGGGAAGACTGTCAATCTGGCACGGAGGCCACCACTTTCCCTCCTACATTCAAAGCAGACACAGCTAATCAATCAGGCACTCTTGCATTGAGGCTCTTTCTCAATACAAGCTCCTGGCAGCCACCACCAACCACCTCACACAAAGGTGTAAGAAGTTACTATGCCTCGTCTAGGGAAGGGGAGCTTGAGGGTTTAGAGAATGGGGGTGGTCATTCAGGAATTAAGTAAACAGGGAAATGGAAGGGTCTACAGACTTAGGAACTAATCACTGGACAGCTTGAGAAGAGGAGTTGGTATTTGAAGGGTGAAAAAAGGAGACATGCAAGTCAGAGTCAGCCTGGAAATCCAGAATGGGTGGGGGACATCATTCTGACTTGTACACCTGAGCTCTAGACTCTTCAGTGCTCACCGTGCAGGGGGTACTGCTGTCAGGGGAGAAGGTAAGGGTGAGTGGGGGACAGAGGGTCCCAGGAGCACAAGGCTGTAACTCCTCAGTGGCTGAAACAACCCACACACAATAGGACAGGCCAGGCCCAGCTCTTGCTGCCCCGCCACCTGGAGGCAGCAGACCTCCAAAGCGGCGGGACCCCAGAGCCACTGAGGACACGTTGGTGAGGAGGGCACGACCCCCACACTCCCGGAAACAGGAGCCACTGGCCCTGGGGAGATGAAGAACCAGTGTCAGACCAGTCCTGCCCCAGCCCACCATGCCCCTAAGCCCACCCTACTAAGCCCTGCTGGCCCTTTGGCTCACCGGGGATCCCCGTAGTAGCCTGGGGAGCAGAGCTGGCAGTGGGCACCTTCAGTGTGGTCCTGGCAGAAGCACAGCCCGCTGAGGTTGTCACAATGGCCATGGCGTGGGTCCCCATGCCCGTTGCACTGACAGGGTCTGCAGCCACCAGAGCCCGTGGCATTGCCATAGCTGCCAGGCCGGCACCTTTCGCAGTGCTCCCCCCACGTCCAGTCTGTGGAGGCCCCAGCAAGTGGGACACAGAGTCAGGGGGAGGGCAGGATGGACCCCAGACCAACTGGTTCAGCGGATCTCCACCCCCCACTCCAGCCCTTGTGGCCTCAAAGGAGTGAAAGGACCAGACTGGGGAATAAATAGCAAGTCCCAAGATGGGGAAGGCTTAGCCAGAGAGAGGGTAACGGAAACCTGTTCGGCTCAGGAGCAAGGAATGGAGCAAGGGGACTGAGAGCCGAATGAGGGGAAACTGAAACCCTGGGGGAAGAAAAATCCGGAGCCTCAAGAAGAGAGAAGGGAGCTGCGGGTGTAGCTCAACACTAGATCCCGTGTCATTTGCTAGTATGGGTAAGGCCCTAGTTTCAATCACCACACCACCACAGTAAAAAAAAAAGGGCCTCGGGACAAGGGCTGCTCACCCTGGCACTCATCGCAGAAACCAGGACCCCGCTTGCGGCAGTGGCTGTGGAAGTTGCAGCCACAGTCTCGGGAGCAACGTGGGGCAGGGGGCCCAGGGGCAGGTGTGGGTGGGGGCAGGTCAGATGTCCAGCCCAGGTCACACAAGCAGGTGAAGTCGGGGGGACCGCTGCACACACCGTGACCACAGTCTTCCAGGCACCTGAGGGACCATGCGGGGATGGGGAAAGGGCCCGGCAGGCCTAGACACCCAGAACATCCCCACCCGTCCACCCACTGCAATACCATCGCAAGGGGCTGCCTGTTCCCACGGGTTCTTGGCTGTGTGGGTGAACCTGTCTCCACAGTAACTCTACCACATACGATAACGCCTGTCTCCATGGCAACCACCTATCACCACCGTGAAAACCCCCTTTCAACTGGGCCTGCCAACTCCTGAGCAGTGCTGAAGACTGAGTATCCCATTTCCAAGGCAACTACCACTGCCTTGGGGACCTGCCACTCAAACGAGGTCCCAGCCTGCAAGGTAAAAACCTGAGGCTAAGTGGGGATGCTGGTTCCACAAGAGGGAGCCCAGCACCATGATGATTCTTCCTCCACCGCAAGCCCCCACCCCGGGGTGACACCTCCACGGCCACCCGTGCCTCACTCACGTGCGATTGCAGTGCATGATGCCATCGCCCTGGTAGCCTCGCTGGCAGTGACACTCGTAGCTCAGGGGTGTGTTCAGGCAGGTTGCCCTCGGATGACACCGTGCCAGGCCCAAGCGACACTCATCCACATCTGGACAGCGGGCATAGGCCCAACGGGCAGGGAGGGCCACAGGCAGCCCTAGGCCCTCCCCCACCCACAGAGAGCAGTTACCCCCACCCAAGGGCCCGGAGAAGTCCCCCTGTAGGCACCTAGAGGGATTGGAGGGGGGCACAATACAGAAACCAGAGAGAGAAGGGGATTCGGGGACACAGGAATGGGGAGAGAGAAAAGGCAAACAGAAAAACAGGACAGAGAACAAAGGAAAGGCAAGGGGAAACGGAACGTGGTGAGGGGGGAGAAACGGAGAAAGGAGAAAGGAGAAAGAAGAGAAAGAGATGTAAGACGGCAAGGAAGGGCAAGGGCAGCCATGGGGCCAGGGCAAAAGGGAAGAGAAAGAGGCCGTCAGAGTCACTGAGGAGGGAGAGCCCGCTCCCGGCTCCACCCGTCCCCCCAAGCCAGCCCCTCACCGTCCCAGGGTGGGGTTGTCCTCATTGCCACACCAGCCACACTCATGGCTCTGCAGGCACTTGTGGCAGGTCAGGAAGCCATCACAGCTCCGGCACCGTGGCTCAGAGTGCACGCTGTGGAGCAATAGATACGTGGGGTGTCGGCGCCTGGTCCCCTCAGCTGGCTGACAGCTCCATTCCATCGGCACCACCCCAGAATCGCACCTGTCGTCCCAGCCACGGCAGCCCCCATGTGGGTACCGGGCTAGGTAGGCGGCGAAGAGGAAGCAGGTGTGGGTGGACTGGCACCAGGCGCACTGGCTGGAGTTGGCCAGGCAGTCCTCGCAGGTCAGACGCCTGGGACAGGAAGCGGGGCCTTGTCACTCCGGCCCTCACCCCACACACCCACCCCCGCTTCCCAGGCCCAGCCAGGCTCACCGGCTGCAGAGTGGGGGACACTCCTCCGGGCTCTTCAGGGCGCCCCGGCCCCGGCCCCGCCGGCTGCATGCTGCATCCCCTTTGCGGCTGGTGCTCTGATGCCACTCACAAAAGGGGTCCTGGGAGGAGGTTGAGTGAGGAGTCAGAGCCCAGTTTAGCTCACTCCTTTGGGTTCCCAGTGCTGCCCCTCACCCTCCAACCCTCCAAACACCTCCCGCCCCAGTTGCCCTTCCGCCTTTAGCCATACAACATCTGTGTTCTGTGTGCTCAGTGCCCAGCCTTCTTTGTGCAGCAGCTCCATTCTACGGGGACTGGGGGTCGGGGGTCAGATTCGATCCCTGGAATCCTGAGATACACAAAGGCCACACTCCCTCCCAACCGCAGTGATGACAAGGACCAGGAGCCGTCACAAGACCCAACAGGGGCCAATGAAACACGATTTAGGGATTTCTGTCCAACTGTGGGGTGGGTTGGGATGGGAACAGAAATGAAAAAGCTCCTTCCCCTTTGTGGCTGAAAGGGGAAATAGAGGCTGGAGTGCTGTCTTCCCTGCTAGTCCCTTTCCCAGGGAAAGTGGATGCAGTGGAGTACAGCACTGGAGCTGGCAGGCCTGAAGATCTATTCCGTGACCACGGCTACCTGGGCAGTGAGTTCAACTACATCTTCTAGGCCCCGCAAGAGGGCAAATCCTGACTCCCAGAAGCCCATCTTTCCAGTCCCATTTCTTCCTCTCCCCATCTGGTTCTTGCCTGCAGACTCAGGACAACAGCCCTAGCTGTCCACCCTCTGCACCTTGCCAGGGCTCCCAGGCTGCCCTGCCAGTTAGGGGGCCCTTCTTGTCACCTGTTCTGGCTGCCTTTATGCTGAGATCCCACCCCTACGCACACAGGCCGTGACCCAGCAGGTACCTGGGTGCAGGCGTGGCAGTCACGATGCTCCTCGCAGAGCGGGCAGAGCGCAGGCACCAGCACCAGCAGGGACCCACCTGCTCCATCGTCCTGACAGTGGGCCCCACCCTGGCGCAGGTGACAAGTGGCACTGCTTAGGCACCAGCCACAACCCTGGTCAGCCAGGCAGCCCAGGCAGGAGGAATAGGCAGTGCAGGTAGAAGAGCGGTAGGGCTCCAGGAAGAAGAAGGAGATCTCCTGGAGGCAGAGCACAGGAGCAGGAGTCAGGCTCTGGGGCAGGGGTCAGAACACAGAGCCAATACCTGGGGATTTAGCTCAATGGCACAGTGCCTGCATTACAAGTGCAAGGTCCTGAGTTCAATCCCCAGCACACACACAAAAAGAACTTAGAGCTAATGACTGGAGTTAAGGGTTAAGGATTTGGAGATCAGATTGAGAAGCAAACACAGAAACAGTAAGGATTTAGGAAATCAGAAAACAAATGAAGAGGGTTGGAGGGAATCTAGAGATTAGAGGTCAAAGCATGGAAGGCAGAGATCAGACAGGAGTGTGAAGATGTGGATGGGGCTCAGGAACACGATCAGGGCTGGGGTGCAGCTCAGTGATACAGTGCCTGCCTAGCACACAGTGACACCTTGGTTTATGACTTAATGTGATTAATGATTTGGGGGAAGATGGCTGCATTTGTATTTGTATGGGGAAGAGGGCCGTGGTTGTGGTTGTAGTTGTGGTTGTGTTTGTCACCCAAGGCAGTTTGCAAATGGAAGCAAAACTTTACCAAACACTTATTTGCAAATCAAATTGCTTGCAAACAGAAGCATTCATGAACCAAAGTATCACTGTATACGAGGCCCTGGGTTTCATCCCCAGCACCACAAAAATGGATAGATGGACAAGATGGAAAGACAGATTATAGATAAAAAGAAAGATAAATAAGTTTGAATAGTTTCAGAATATGGGACCAGAGGTTGGGTTCTATAGTTCAAGGTGAGGTACAGGGTTCAAAGGGGAAGAGTCAAGGAATCAGAGATCAGGATGCAGGGAGTCAGAGTTTGTGGCCTGGGGCTCAGAAGGCCAGGGCTGGGGGACAGGGTCAAGGCTCGGAGGACAGGCTGGGCACTCACACTGCCACCTGGCACACCAGTCCGATCCCACAGCAGAGTGAGCTCGCTGTGCCCAGGGCCAGCCGAGCCATTAAGCTGTCCCTGGATCTCCACTGCATACTTATGGCCTCGCCCAGGCAGTGGGAAGAGGCGAGCAGATCCAGGGCGCTGCAGCCTCCTCGTCTCCTTCTCCTGCTGAGCCACCCAGCGTCCCACCTCCTCCTGGGGTGGAGGGGAGAGACAGACAGGGCCCTCAGGACTCATCACTCTCCTTCCTCAGGCCCCCAAGCCCCTTAGCACCCCTCTTCCTCCTGGAAAGAGGGCCTCAGACCTCCTTAGTCTTTGAAAACCTTCAAGGCACCCCCAAGTTCCCCAGAGACCCACCTTCTCCTCAGGGGAGCCTGACTTGCTGACTCAAATCTGCCTCTCTCTCGTCCAAGTCGCCAAAATTGTGTTCACAGATGAAAACCCCAGTGGCTCTCTTGTTCCTCTAAGGATACACCCCATACCTCTGGCTTCTCCCATCTTCCTCTGAACCTTCACATCACCCCAGATGCCCTGTATCACATCCTCACCTGCCAAACACACCCCCAAATGTCCCAGGCTCCCTCACCATGTTCTCTGGGTCGGAGCCACGGGCCATCCGGGCCAGAACGTGGAGGCGCTGGGCCCGGGCCCACACAGACACGTCCTCAGCCCCCGGCCCACCTGGCCCTCCTGGCAGCAGCGGGTGGATGAAGCCACGGTAGACCAAAGACACGTCTGTCTCGGGACTGGGCGTGAGGGTGATGGTTGTACTGCGGACAATCGAGACCTGCGCCAGCAGGAATGGAGTGCACATGTGAAACCCTCTGTTCGTGGCCCCCAAGTCCCTACATTCCCACAGTCCTACATCACAGCCAAAGAAGATGGGTCAGGCCAATTTCATTCCCCATTTACTCAATGAGAAACCCAGGTGGAGGGCAGAGGTTAGGCAGAGGTTGTCCCCCTGGGAGAAAAGTCACGGTTCAAATCCAGACAATAGGTGACAGGGTCTAAGAGCCCACCTTAAACCCCAGCCCCTGCTCTTCTCCAGGTTACAGTAAAACTCCAGGACTGGATCTTTCAGTATCTTGTTCCCTAACTTACTACCTTTCCAACAAAACCCTTCCAAGCCCAGGCCCAATGTTTCAAGAGGCAGTCTATGATTGCTATTGCTAGTATGTAGTATGTGACTTTACAATAGCAGAAGAGTGGAATAACCCAATTACTGCTCACCAGGAAATAAACTGTAACAGCACTGTGGCATTTGAATATAAATGGAATACTACACAGCCATAAAAAGCCAGGCATACTGGCATACTTCTGTCATTCCAGCTATTCAGGAGGCTGAGGCAGGAGGATCACTTGAGCACAAGATTTCGAGATCAGACTGCACAATATAAGACCTCACCTCAAAACAAAACAAAACAAAACAAAAAAAAAGAGCAAAGTATTTACTAAGTTCTGTTATGGGAAAGCTTGTCAGGAAGTGGTAATAAAGAATAAATACACTATTTTTTGTGCAAGAAAGCAAAATAATCAAAAATTCACATTTACTTGCATTTGAAGGTACTGGAAGGATGTAAAAAAAATATCTTCTGGGGATTTCTAGTGGTCTCAAGTTGGGGAATGCTGGAGCTAGATTGTCCTGGACCATTGCAGGAGTAGGAAGTAGAGTAGGTAGATGGGAGAGACCTATAACCCAACCACTGTTGGAATCACTGGAGTTTTTGAATATGTGAATTATACTCTATTTTAAAAATCAATACAAAACAAAAACCGATACAGAGCCCCTGTAGAAAAGTCTGGTGGTTCTTCAATAAGTTAAATGTAGAATTACAGTATGACCCAGCAATTTCACACCGAGGTACTATATATACCTACAAAAACTGAAATTAGACCAGGCATGATGGTACACGCCTATAATCCCAGCACTCTGGGAGGCGGAGGCATGAGGATCACAAATTTGAACCCAGCCTGGACAACTTAGCAAAAGCCTGTCTCAAAATAAAAATTACTTTAAAAAGGGGCTAGGGCTATAGCTCAGCTCAGTGCAAAGGAAAGAAGCCCAAGAGAAAAGGCCACATGTCATACAACTCCATTCACATGAAATGTCTAGAGCTGGCAAATCCAGCGGTTGCCAGAGATGAAACAGGGCAGTGGGAAGAAACCTATTTAATAAGTCCAGGGTTGCTCTGAGGGACAATAAAAATGTCCTGTGAGCGGTGTACTGGTGCATGGCTCTAATCCCTTGGAAAGCTGAGGCGGGAGGATCACCATGAGTTTGAGGCCAGCCTGGGCACATAGTGAGTTCAAAACTGGCTTGGTCTACACAGCAAGACCCTGGCCTTGAAAACCAAAAACAAAACAAAATAAAAAGGTTCTGTAACTAGATAGTAGTGATCATTGCACGGTATAGTGGATGTGCTAAATGTCACTTATAGTAAATTTTATATATATTTTGCATAATAAAAAAATTCTTGGGGCTAGGGATGTAGCTCAATGGTAGAGCACTTTCATGAGCAAGGCACTGGGTTCAATCCCTAGTATTGGGGAAAAGAAAAAAAAAGAATTTTTGGCTGGGGCTATAGCTCAGTGGTAGAGCATTTGCTTAGCATGTGTGAGGCCCCAGGTTTAGTCCCCAAGCACCACATATGTACATATGCACGCACATACACACACACATATGCACATATCTACGTCTACAGGGCAAATCAAACCCTTGAAAGTAAAGATTTGCAGAGGAAACACAAAAGTGTTAAGGACCCATTAAGGACTGGGGATGTAGCTCAGAGTGTGAATTTAGCGTATACCAGGCCGTGAGTTCAATGCCCAGCACCACAAACAAAATCCATTTAAAAAAGGCAAACCCTAGGCTTGTGACCATCACCTCCCCACCCTGGCCACTACTGACTGCCCACCTTATCAGGCTGGGAGGCATTGGGAGGCTGCTGGAAGGTGAGCAGGTGAAGGCCAGGCAGGAAGCTCTGGGTCACACAGGCCTCCAGGGATGTGACGAAGACAGGCGCTGGCCCCCACCAGCCCACAGTGCCTGAGATCTGCTCTCCTCGGCAGCGGGCCTGCTCTGCAAGGAAAGGGGTGTGGGGGGCTGGGAGGTCAGTGCAGGGTGTTCTGCTGCCACCCCACCCTCCACTGCCCCGGACACTCACCAGGCCGAGGGAGGCAGCTCTCATTGTGCACACACCAGCCCAGGGCGCCAGGCCCCCGGGGAGGGGCTGTGGGGCTGCTGAAGGCCAGACATACCTGGCAGTCACCCAGGAGGCGGCCCAGGCCCAGGCAACTGGCAGCTGGACACTGAAAGGACAGGCAATAGGGCTCACCAACTGCCAGGACTCAAGGGACTCCGGGAAGGGCCAGTTCAGGGGTCCTGGGGAGGCACAGACCAGCAAACTGGGGAATGGGAAATTGGAAGCAGGGAGGGAATGTAGATCAAGGACAGAAGCTGGAGGGTGCAGGGGCAGCGGCAGAAGCTCAAAAGAATCTGGCTGGAGGAAGAGGGAGTGGAGAGGACAGGGATCAGCAGTAGGAAGGCAGCAAAGAGGATCTTGAGGGTGCAAAGAGGTCTCCTAACTGAGAGGAAGTCCTTGACCACTCAGTTTAGGCAGAGGCTGAGGTCAGGTCTCTGTGTTAGGGGACACAAAGGTCCAGGGCAGTCACTCACATCCCCTGAGGGGGTTCCAGGGGGGGGTGCGGCTTGGCAGGCCCCCTGACACCAACTGCATTCAGGGTCTCGAGAGCAGACACTGTGGTCCGTGTACATGGAACAATAGTCCAAGTGGTACTGCAGGGAGACGAGGGGACAGAGGGCTACTCAGACCTGGGGCCAGCCGTCCAACTACTCGCCCACTTTGATCCTCCCAGGGAAGCCCAAATGCTCAGTACCTGAGACCCTATCCATTCCTGCCTCAATCCCGGGAACCCTCTATCTCTTCTTCCTTCAACCAAGGGACCTCCTTCCCTCCTCTCATGGCCCTAGGAACCCCATCCTCCTAGGGACCTCTTTCCCACTCTCTCCCTCATCTGTGGGAACCATGCTACCTCCTCCCCAGCCACCCTCGCCCTATCACCCCAGTGCTCACGTCTAGGGCAGGTGCCTGGAACACGAAGGGGGGCACCTTGTAGGCCATCAAGTCCCCACGAGGACGGCCACTATACCCCCCAGCCACCAGCAGGACACTGCCACCAAGCACAGCTGCCACATGTGAGTACCGGCCACTGGGAGGCGCTGCTCGGCCTAGGAGAATACAGGACACCCCCAACCCCAGAATATTAGGTCCCTGATCCCTCTCCACCTTGATGGCTCTCCTGCCAGGAAACTAACTACCCAGACTCTGCCCAGCCTTCTTGCGGCTGTTTCAACCCCATGTGACTAAGGAAATCCTCCCAACTTTCCTGGCCCTGTGATGGCTATAATTCCCTCACCTCTCCAACACCAACAAGGCCCCAACACCCCTGCCCAAATCATCTTTCAGACAGAGCATGACCTTGGGGTCAGAAAGACTAGAGTCCAAATTCTGAGTCTATCACTCCTTGGGTTCAAACCACAGATCAGATACTAGCCAAGCAGAAGACTCAACTTCTCTGAGGCTTGGTTTGTTCTAGAAATGAAATCACCATTCCACCAGACCCTAGAGGGCTGCCTAAGTCTCACCTGTCTCTGCCCGTCCAGCACCAGCCTCCTATCTGGTGAAGGCCCCTGATGTTGCTCTGGAAAGCCATCCTTTCCCATTCCCAGGCCAAAGTCCTGAGTGGACCTGTCCATGCCTCTGGCAGATGAGGCCTCGGCCCAGGCCCATCAGTCCCCATGACTAGTTCAGTGATGTCTAGGGCACCCAGGAGGGACAGGGGCAGCTCAAGCCCAGATTCACTGTGAGGGAAGGTGGCACCCTCAGGAGCCCTCAGGGAAACAAAAGAACCACTCACCCTCAGGGGTTCCTGGGGGAGCAAGCTCAGCCCCCGACACCCACTGATGGCAGCCAAGGTGGTAGAAGAAGATGCCATCTTCGTAGCACTTTTCCTCCTGGTAATGGGTATGCACATTGCCTCCTGGGAAAGGAGAAAAGGGGCAGAGCTGGCAAGACTGGGGCAGGTAGAGGTGCCCAGATGGGGAGCCTCAGCTCAGGTTCTACTTGCATCCCTGGCAGGCAGGTAGGACTGAAAACCTCCTCACCATAGACCACCATGTAGTTGCCCAGCACACTGGCTGTATGGAAGGCTCGCTCCCGCGGGCCCTGAAGCCCATCCCGGCCCTTCAGGGTCGTCCACACACGTCGATCCACATGGAAGAGCTCAGTGGAGTTTACTCGAACAGAGAACCTACAAGAAGGGGTAGGGCAGGGGCTCAGGGGAAGAAGGGCCTCTCTCCCCTCCCCTAGGCTCTTAGGGTCCATGTGACAAGCCAGGGTAGAGACCAGCTATGACCCAGGTCTATGTCCCCTCCCAATTAGACACTCCTGGTAGGCAAGGCCCAGTCTAACTCTTCTCTGAGTTACCTGTATAATCTGGTAAGGAATGGATGAATGTGTGGGAATGTATAGGAAGGTAAATGACCAAGAAATCAAATAAAAACGTGTAAGAGGGACTTGGGATTTAGCTCAGTGGTTCTGCTGCCTGCCTCATAAGTGCAAGGTCCCGAGTTGGATCTCTGGTACCAAAAAACAAAACAAAACAAAACAAAAAAGTTATAAGAGGGTGAGTGAATAAAGGAAGAAAGGATTACTGAATGACCACAGGAGTCTGTTACTGGGCAAAGACTTAAAGTTGCCAGGGAATTGGGCCAGCCTGACCCTGAGGGACAGGGGTGGTAGGACAGGTCACTCACCGGGCAGTGGAGGGTCGGTGTCCACCATGGACCAGCAGGGCCCGGGATGGAGCATGGAACACCATGGAGTGGCCAGTGGCAGCAGGGGGTCGCCCACCTGCAGGGATCACCTGCTCCCAATAGCTTCTGCTGGTGCCACCAAGGCGGAAACGGAAGAGGCCAGAGGAGAAGAGGTCATGCTGGGTGCGGCCACCAGACACATAGAGCCAGATATCATCCACCAGGGCAGCTGCGTGACCTGCCAGGCCTGGGGGTCCTGAGGAGCTGGAGGCAGCTGGTGCCAGGAGCTCCCAGCGGCCCCCACCCAGTGGGTTGAAGGCCCATACATCGTTGGTGAGCGAGCCATTGGCCAACTCACCGCCCATCAGCACCAGTGAGCCAGCCCAGGCCACAGACACATGGGAGTGACGCGCAGCCTGTGAAGGAGAGAAGAGACAGAGATGGAGAGGGCAAAAGGTGGTGACAGAGAGCCACAGCCAAACATGGACAGAGAGGTGCAGAGACAGAGGAAGATGGGAAGATGGTGGAGAGACGCAGGCAGAGATGTGCAAAGAGAAAAGGAGAGACAGACACCGAAAGACAAGAAATGGGAATAAAAACACAGGTGAGATAAAGAGACACAATATAAGAGGGAAGAACAGGGAGACAGAAACAGGAGGAGAAACGACAGAGAGAGAGAACAGGCCCAGAGTGAGGGAGATACAGAGATCAGGAGAGAACAAAACACCAAGAATCAGGACCAGGGATTTAGCTCAGTGGCACCGTGCCTGCCTTGCAAGTAAGTGCAAGATCCTAAGTTCAATCCCCAGTACCAAACCCCCCCAAAAACAAAAAACACCAAGAATCAGACAGACAAATTGAAGAGAAACACACAGGAGACACACAAAAAGGTAAAACGCAGAGAGGGAAAAAAAACAATAGATGTACTGTATCCCTAAATGTACCAATAAACTCAATAAAATTAAAAAAAAAAAAAATAGAAAGAAAACCTGAGCAAACAAAGGCAGAAGTAGGGAGAGGCTGATATCAAACTATGGGGCTGGGACAGGGGGTCAGGGAGGAGGATGGGACAATGGAGGTCACCCCTAGGAGGGCCCTGGCTGAGTCTGATGAGGGGACAGAGGAGGGGTCTATACCGGAGCAGGACTCAGGTCCCAGCGCTCCCAGGTGTTGGCAGAGAAGTTGTACAGGACAAGGTCACCCAGGGCCTTGTTGAGGTCTTGGCCTGTGGAGGGTGAATTGTCTTAAGCCCCAGCCACAGGTGGCCAGGCCTCCAGACATTCCATGTTCACCCCACCTGCTCACCTCCAAAAACAGCCAGCAGTCCTGGAGGGGACAGGAAGGTACCAGCTGCCCCAATTCGCGCGGAGAAAGCAGGGTCCCCAGCACTCACATTGTGCCACCAGCCAGCCCCCTGGTTCTCCCACAGATGCAAGTCACAGGCGTGTCCCAGGAAGCCAGGCTCACAGCGGCATGGTCCAAGGGGCTAGGGAAACAGGACAATAACGACTTGGACAGAGAGACAGAGGAGGGACACACAGAGGGAAACAGCCAGAAAGACAGGAGAGAAAGGCAGGAGAGAAACAAGGGAGAGAATGGGAAAAGAGACAGGCAAAAGGACAGACAGAGACAAACAGGAAAGAGACAGGCAGACAGACAAAGGGAGAGAAATAGGGGACACAGAGACACAACCGAAGGAAGACAGAGTTGGAGCAAAGAAAAAGGGAAAGACTGTGAGATCAGTGTTTAGCCTAGGCAGAAAGAGCTCAGGTCAGGGAGGCAGAGACAGGGAGGGCTCAAAGTGATCCAGATCCTAACTGGGAGGTGCGCAGCTCAGGTAAGGTCAGTGGCAACAGAACTGGAGTCATGTCAGGGGGCTCAAGGCCACACAAGGCAGCTGGGTGGGAGGGAGCTGGGTCTGGCGGTGTCCCTAGGAGAGGGTGGGGTATGGATGAGGATGGGCAGGAGGGGTACCCAGCAGATGGAGGTGAAGTGAGGCTGGAATCACAGGTGGGGTTGGGATCTAAAAGGAGAGCTTTCCCTGGAGGGGCAGTTTCAGGTAGAACAAGGGCCCATCTCAGAGGTGGGAATGGCAGGAGTGGTCACAGATCCAGGCCCCAGGGGCAAGGTTGGTCAGGGACAGCTCACCGAGGCACAGGTGCCATGACTGCCACAGTAGGCTGAGCACTCCTGCAGGCCACAGTCGGGGCCGCCCCAGCCTGGCTCACAGGCACACACTCCTGGAGGCTGGCACTGCCCATGGTTCTGGCAGCCCCCCGGGCACAGGGAAAAGCGGAAGGAGGCGTTGAAGCCCAGCAGGTTGTAGTTGGCATCGCTGAAGAGGTGCAGCAGCATCTGTACACCAGGAAGGTGGGAGCTAGATCAGCAAGGTGGCCTGCCACCAGGGGACCTGGAACCCCACTGCCTTTTTTGCTAATCTCCTTCCTTTGTCCCTTCTCCCAATGTCCTGTGGCTCTCTGTCCCTTTGGTCTTGTTTCCCTCTGTGTCTGCATCCCTGTCTACCCCGGGACCTGCTAGATCCTCCACCCACAGTCCCACGGCTCCTGTCCCCACTAACCTTGCCTGAGGAAGCCTCAATGGGTGGAGGACGGGTGCTCCCACTCAGACTGGCAAGTAGCGGGCCTCTGGGGGAGTCACCATCATACACAAACAGGTAGTCATACGTGCATTCCGTGTCCAGGAAAAGGAAGTCCAGCAGGATCCGGTGTTGGGGACTTGGGGCTGGAAGGGAGTACCGAGGGGCCGGGCTCAAATGTGGGCCTTCTCTCTAGCCAGCCGTGCTGCCCATCCACCCACACCATGCCAAGTTCCAGGGATGTGGGGGTACAAAGGTGAGTCAGGCCTGGGCCCCACCTAGAAGGACAGGTCAGAGCCGTGGGAGCCAGAGGGATGTGAGCCCAGAGGAGGAGTCACGATGTCAGCCCTGAAAGTGAAATACCTATGCCCCCATCATTCAGATGGGGAAACTAAGGCACAGAGAAGAAACACCATTTCAGTAGTCACAGACCACACAGTGTTCCCGATGCTGCATTTGCACTATCGGGCGTGAGCTTTACACGTGCCCAGGCTCCACAGCCAGGGCCCAGACTCAGCAGAGACCTGCGACTCCCTAGCCCACACTGAACTCAGGTCCCAGGGAAAGTCTCATCTCTCCTCCCTGAACAAAGCTTTCGTCCTGGAATGTCACAGTGCCCCTCTGCCTCCGACCAGGGTCATAGGCTCGTTTACTGCAGTGGCTGCAGACATAGACTCAAGCTAGACTGCCTGGGCTCAAATCTCAGCTCTGCTGCTCACGGACCACTAGCTGTACAGCCTTGGGCAATTCACCTACCCTCTCCGTTTTCTCATCGGTAAAGCAGAGATATAATGGTATCGTGCTGGATCCAAACTCTTTAGTCCAGGGCTCTGTGGTGGAGTGCTTGCCTAGCATGCATGAAGCCCTGGATTTCATCCCCAACACCACAAAAAAGCAAACTTTTGGGGCCACTTCTAGCAGCTAAAAGTGTAAGCTAGTTTTCTGTCCTATGTATCTGGGAAGAGCCTCAGTGACTTCCTCTACCAGGAACAAGGCAGCAGAAGAGACACTGGGATTTCTGTGATTAGGAAGTAAGAAGCCTGCAGTGTGTGGCTGAGCCTTGCAGGCTCCTCCCTAGGAGAACACAGCTGTCAGGCTATGAAGAGCCAAAGCCACATGGACAGACCACGTGGAGGTCTTCCAGCTGACGGACAGCATCACCGGCCAGCTCTTCCTGAGATTCCCAGCCTAGATGAGCACTCAGATGACTGTAGCCATGACTGACATCTGACCGTGACCATGTGAGAGGTGACAATGCCGAAAGAGCGCTTAGCACAGGGCCTAGCACATCGTAGTCAGAGCTTAACACTGTTGCCATTCTTGCTTTCTGCCACGTCTTGGTTCCTGAAGGTTCTTTTATTCCCACGTCCTGCACTAGAGGGCCTCAGGAGACTACCACAGGCAGCTCAGGGGAGTCCTCTGGGTGGGGAAAAGGAGAGCTGGGTTCCAGCTGTGTCCCTGAGCTTCTGGATGATGTGGGGCCAGCCCTTCCCTGTGACCTTCAGCATATTCTTCTGGGTACTGTACTAGAGATGCTCGTCTACCACTCGCTCTGGCTGTGTGATCACAGGACAGCTCCGAGGTCTCTCTGTGCCTCAGTTACCTTAGCTGTAAAATGGGGATAATTTTCCCCACCCACTAAGGCTGGTATGACCACTGAATGAGATGATGGCTCTAACCTGCTAGCCCAGAGCTAGGATGCTCAATAATGAGTCTGCCCAGCTCTCATCCTTGTCCTCTCTCACCTCATCCTTGCCTTCTTTCTAGGTCTGACCTCCAGTGGTGCCCTCAAACGGGTTCCTGAGGGATTTTCCCAACTTGCTGCCTGGCCCTATCTATTCCTTGCTCCAGAGTCCCACATAGGTCCCCACTACCCTAAGAGAAAATCTAGCTCCTAAATTTGGTGCTTGGATCCTGATCACCCCACTGCTTGTAGCTCTATGAGGACCAATGCCTTTTTTACTTTGTTCCCCACAGTGCCAGGGAATTGATCCAGGGCCTTGCAACAAGCTACATCCCCAACTCTTCTTTAATTTTTAATTTTGAGACAGGGTCTTATTAAGTTGCTAAATAAGGGTTGGGATGGAACTTGCAATCCTCCTGCCTCAGTCTCCCAAGGTGCTGGAATTATAAAACAAAATCAAAGAACACACTCAAATGAAAATGGTGTGTATCACTACACCAGGCTGGACCCTGGGTCTTTGCACAAGCTTCTTTCTACCTTTGTCTAGAACATATCTTTCCTTCCTACCGAGGAACTTCCTCTCCTTCTCCAGAAAGCTCTCCTTGATGCCCCGGCTGGGTTAGGAGCCCTTCTTTGGGGTTCCCACAGCCATACTAACCTTTATCCCTCTGTGCAGTGGTCTAACTCTCCCACAGCCTAGAAGGCTCAGAGGGCAGGACCTGGACCTGGGCCTAATCCTTCCCCAGCACTGTCCAGCACAGGCCTGGCGCACAGCAAGGGCTCAACAAATGCTGGATGACAGAATGAAAAAATGTATTCAAGGAAAACTGAAGCTGACAGCTCTCGCTGGGGCTCGGACCAGGGTCTGCCGACACACACAAACATCCTCAGCTATGGTCTGGGGAATGCAGAACTGTTCAGCTGGACCAGGCGAGCCGACCTCCCAGAATCTCACCAGCCTCAGCCTAACTACACAGTTCCGCTCTTGGACTCGCAACAACAGACATCTTTGTATAGTGCCTGCTGGAGACCAGATCACCATCTGCCTTCTCCAAGTTCCTCCCCGAGATCAAGGTCTCCTGTTTCCACCAACCCCCACACCATTCCCAACTGAAATCTGATCCGAGGCCCTGCCCCCACCCCTGCTCTGAAGCAGGATGCTCCTGTGCCTAACATGGGGAGGACTAGATAAAGTATACACGTGGTATAAAAGCAGTTGGGTTGGTTGCTTTTTTTTTTTTTTTGTTACCAGGGATCGAACTTGGGTACTTCCGCTTGCGAGGCAGGTGGCGGAACCATTGAGCTAAATCCCAGGCCCTGGTTGCTCATGTTTTAACAGACGCAGGAAGATGCTGGTTCTTAGGGGTTGCAGGCACTGAGTAGGAAAACAGAGGTTTTTTTTTTTTTTTTTTGGTACCAGGGATCGAACTTGGGTACTTCCGCTTGCGAGGCAGGTGGCGGAACCATTGAGCTAAATCCCAGGCCCTGGTTGCTCATGTTTTAACAGACGCAGGAAGATGCTGGTTCTTAGGGGTTGCAGGCACTGAGTAGGAAAACAGAGGGTGTCTGCAGGTTTCCCAGATGCTACCTGCACCTCAACATCCAGTCACCTAGCCCCCCAGTCTCACTGGTGAAACTCCACAAACATCTACCTAAACTCTCTACACCTCTTACCCCTTTGCTTCTGCTCCAGTTCAGAGCTCATTTTCTCCTGTCTCCACTCTGCTCCCTACCTCGTCCTGAAAGCAATATCCTGCTACGGCTCAAAAGGCTTGGAATCATCTGGTGGCTCCCCTAAAGTCCCCATGGAAAGGCCCAGCTGCTTAGAGTGACATTCAAGGCCTCCTCCCCCAGCTTCTGTCTCCTTCCTCAGCTCTTAGTCTACTGTGCAGCCAGACCAGACAAACCCACACATGGGTCCTGAAACACACAACCCTCTTTCCTGTCTCCATAGATGTTGGTTCCTTTTCCAACTCAGTAAACTCCTATGCATGTTTCAGAACCCTGCTGTGGTGGCTCCTTCTGTGTAACACTGAGCAGATTCCTCTTCCTCCCCTAAGCCCACCCTCCAAACCCTCGTACCTCCTGCCTCAACCCTGAGCACTGACTCAGTGAGCACACTGAGGGCTGAATGTCATGTCCAACTCCACCATTTCCCAACCAGTCTCAGATTCTTCAAAGTCAGAGAACGATTCATATTCCTCAATACATACTTCCCATTCTGTTCTTATTCCATTCTCTTCTTAGACTGACGGGAATGGCTCCCATGCTGGGTACAGGTTAAACACCCCCCACACACAAAATGCCTTCATCCATACCCCTATCTTCTAAAACAAATCAGATCAAGTATTGCCCCTGCTCAAAACATTCTGCAGCTCCCTGGTACCTCAATAAAGACCAAGCTTGCTGCCAAGTGAGGCCCTGTCACATCTGTGGCCTTTGCCTGTGGCCTCCTACCTCTCCTTTAAGGCCAGCTCCCACATCCACTGCCCCGTGAAGCCTTCTGGGACTTTTCCTGCCACTGCCCTTGAGCTTCTCTTCTCCCTCCCTTTGCCCTCAGAATAGAGCTCAAAATCACAAGGTTTTGTCCCCCCTGGCTTCTTCCCCTCCTGAATCCTCTGGCTGGCAGGTTTTCTTCTGCTCTATGTTTCAGCACCTTGGGTTTCTAGTTGCTCAAAAGCATCTCATCCTCCTGCCTCCAGGCCACTGAAAGAACTGTTCTCTTTGCCAAGAATGTCCTCTGCTGCCTCCTAACCACGCCCCTGGTCCTGGACAGACCCAGGCTAAATCAGATGTTTTCTCTGGCTATGCCCAAGCCCTGGGAATGGGTTGGTCTCCCCCTTTGACTAGGACTGCATAAAGGTAGAGCTGGGTCCTTTACACAACCTGTTTCCTCCCTCTGAAATGTTCCTAACTGACTTTCCTTGCTCTTTTAGGTCTCAGCTCTGACATCTCTGAAAAGCCTCTTTGCTCTCTTCCACTCTCAGATCTTCCAGCACAGACCACTCTGAGCTGTCTATCTGTTAATGTGTTTATCACCCCCACTGGAATCCAACTCTGTCATCAGGAACTGCTGGAGCTCTTTTGGTCTTCTGCTGCTTATCTCCACGGCAAATACAACTTCTAGCGGATGAATAAATAAAAGAATGCTTTTACTCAGTACTTTAAACATAATCATCATCATATACGCTACTTCTGTTTATTGAGCATTTACTATGTAATAGGCATCAGGCATGTTAAATACATGACCTTAATTCTAACAACCCTAGGAGGTGAATAGTATTGTTATCAGGATAAGGGAAGATGAACCTCACTGAAAGAAAGTCATCTGTTCAATCACAAAAAGGCTGGGGGTTTAGCTCAGTGCCACTGTGCCTGACTCACAAGCGCAAGGTCCTGAGTCTGATTCCCGGTACCAGAAGAAAAAAAAAAAAAAACACCAATCACAAAGATGGCAAAAAGTAGAGCCTAAATTATAAGCCAGGTGATTGGACTCAGAGCTACAGGTTTTTGTTGTTTTGTTTTGTTGTACTGGGGATTTAACACAGGGGCCTTCACACTGAACTACACCCCAGTCCCTTTTATTTTTGAGACAGGGTCTCCCTATCATGTTAGGTTGCCCAGGCTGGGCTGGAAATTACCATCCTCCTGCCTCAGCCTCCCAGATTTCTATACTGTTTTATTTGTTTTATTTGGTTGTTTTTTTTTGTACCGGGGATAGAACTTGGGTCCTTGTACTTGCGAGGCAGGCACTGGAACCACTGAGCCAAATCCCCGGCCCAGCTTCCCAGATCTCTGGGATCACAGGTATGTGCCACCACACCCAACTCAGAATTACTCCGAATTCCCCTCACTGTTGCTTTTAGTTTGTACTTGTCAAACTGGGTTTGCACACATCTCTCCCACCAGACTTTCCAGGCTGGTTGCAAGCATGGGTATCCAGCATTTTAGGGCACAAGCCCTGGACAAGACCCCGGCTCTAGGAAGGCGCTGAATGGATGAATGCACAAATGAATGAACTAGCAAATGAGTGTGTGACCCACGCGGCCCCACTCACCCTCGATAAGCCACTCGCAGTTGCCATTGACGCTGTAGTTGCCTGCGCCATCCGTCACGAAGCCTGGCGCCTCCCGTAGCACCTGCCGCTGCCCCTTGCAGTCCCCTGCCAGGGCCCGAGGAGACAGCGGCCCCAGCAAGGCCAAGGCCAGTGCCAGGGCCAGGGCCAGAGTCCGGCCTAAGGCCATCGCCGACTCCCGTCCGGACCCTTAAGACGGGAAGGGCCTTAAGGACCCATGGGGGACCCTCCACCGGCGTGAGGGCATACAATGCGACCTCTATAGGCGTAGCATGGACTTGCACACCGGGGAGTTCCTCGGGAGGGAACGGTCGCTGTTGATGGTCTTTAGGGGTCGAGAGGTGGGCCCTACAGAGCCATGGAAGGCCCTGTATATGGGGTTGTCATGGAAGGGGCCGACTCCTAAGGACCACAGGAGTCCCCTACAGACACGGGTTTCCATAGGGGGGCCGACCCCATTAACAGCGTGCAGCAGTTAAGACTCCGGCCATGAAGACCAAAACAGACCTTAAAGACGGATGGGTCCCCAGAGGTGACGGGCTCTACCGCCCGGCAGGGTCCTCCATAGAAGGTGCGGACCAGAACGGCCCAGGCCCGGACCGTCCTCCGCAGACCCCCTCCAGCCGGGGGCGGGGCGCGAGCGGGTTCCGAGGGCGGAGCCTGTCTTCAAGAGCTTGGACCCGGATCCCATCGGCGCACTCCCTTTGCTCGCCCACCCGAGCCTTCCTCCCTCTCTGAGCCGGATGGGCCGGATCAGAGAGACTAGGCGATTCTCGGGCGAGAGCGGCCTGGAGAAGACCCGTTGGGAGGGCCAGGGGGCGGGAGCCCAGGCCGCTCTGGGAGAACGCGCGGAGAGGAAACGAAATGTTGCAAAACTGCGGGTCAGAGCGGCCCTGGGAGGACTGCGGAGCGCCCAACCCCACCCCTTCGCAAAGGGAGACTTCCGGGATCTTCCCCGCCCATGTTTACAGCCGCATGCGCAGCAGTGACCTCCTCGAATAGAGGGATTTACGCATGCGCAGCGTTAAACTCGTAACCCAAACTCCGGGTAGGTAAAAAAACCTGTGCTACGCTAATTGACGCAAAATGCCACTGGAGGGCGCCTCTATAGCTGACTGGTAAAGGGAAGGTTAAAAAAAGTGGTGCAATACGGAGCTCTGCTAGATGATTAGTATTGTATATGCTCCCACATTCTGGGTCAATTTAAAGGTTAGGTTACTAGGCCCTTCTGGGCCAAATGCCATTTCACAGATGGACGCACTGAGATCCTGAGATTGAAAAGGTTCTTGCTCAACCTCACCGCTCAGCACCATCAAGATGTAAGACAGATAGAAAAGAAAACTGGGGATTGGTGGCGTCTACCTGTAAGCACTCCGGGGGCTGAGACAGGAGAATCACCATGAGTTCGAGGCCAGCCTGGACTATGTAGTGAAGCCCTATCTCAAGAAAACTAAAATAAATAATAAAAAGAGCCATGTTATAGATAAAAATTCAACGAATCCTTTTTATGTTGGCAAGGAGGGAAAAGTCTTTCTGCCAGGGACCCGATGGAAGGGCCCCGGAATGCAGACAGGAACGGAGAGCACGGGTCCGGTCACAGATCCGAGGAAGGGTTTCAGAGAGATCAGCTTCACGGTATCCGTCCCGGGAGCAGTGGCTCGGGGTCGCACAGTCCTGGAGAGGCAGGGTCAGGATCCCGGCGGTCGTGATGAGTGTCCGGAGTCCAGCGGGGTCAGAGGTCTCGGAGGGGGCCAGGGGGCCGAAGATCGCGGAACAGCGGGAGCCCAGAATCCGGCGCCACACGGGGCAGGGGCTGAGGGAGGGGATGGGGAGAGCGGCTCCCGCGGGACCGTTTGGCACAAGAGGGGAGGGGAGGGAACGGGACGCAGCGCACCCC